ATATATATATATATATATATATATATATTAAGAGCCAATTAATATTTACAAAATAAATTTTTAAAATTAAACATTTGTGATCATAAAAATAAAGGAAGAAAGTGCATGTGAAATGAATAAATACTTTAAATGAAAAATTGAATATTGAGCTTAATATTTGACGCTCAATGAATCCAAAAGATTAGGAAACTTTATTTATTTTATATATAAAAATATTATTAAAATATCTTATATATAATATTAAATTTTTACTGAGAGGAATAACCTTATTATAAAAGTGACTGATCATGTTTTTAATAAAAAATAGTTATTAATAAAATAATTATTTATATAAATAATAAAGTAATCGGAAAAAAATATTCCATTAAAATTGTTACATGACATCTTTCGTTTTTTTTTATTAAATTCTTTTATTTCATGTTATTTATATTTTCTTGACCTATTGTATTTTTAACCTTTCAAAACTATTATTTTTTATATTTTTAAAAAATTCAAACATATATAGCAACACGGAATAAACTATTCTTTAGTAAAATAGATAATTATGATTTTATTATATATATAGATCTTTAATATGAATATATATTGTCAAAAAAAATTAAAATTATTTTCTTGGTTGTAATTGTGCTGGTATATAAGTCCTAAAAAAATTATGTTAGCATTTGTAACATTGGATAGGTTGTAAGGATTTCTAGCCAAAGGTTCAATTGATTTTAGAAGGAAAAACATATAAGGTTTTTTTGTTTTAAATCGAACTCATAATATCTCGTTCTTCAGCAAACTTAGAAAGAGAGAGATTAAGAGAGAAAAGTTCTGATTCTTCTTCCCTTATTCTTTCTAGGTTCTTATGAAGTGCGAGATTCATAGCGGAAAGTGTTGAATTCGAAGCTTAAGCTAAGAATAAAATGGTTGAGATCGTATGGAGCTTGGAAGCTTGGGATTCTCCTTTCTTTTCCTGCCCCTTTCTTAGCTTATCTCGGAATCAAGGTGAGCGAAGTTAATACTCGAATCATTGTTACATTTTTAGTTGCATGTGATTGGATCATCATAAAAAATGTGATTTGTGGTTGAGTTGGTTGAGTTTAAATAGATTGCATGTTCAGTTGGGTTGTGGATGTTCTTATGGTTGCATGTGGTGTTTTATGAAATTTCTTAATTGTAAGTATAAATCTAGGAGTGAAAATGAGTTATAGATGGTGTTTAGAAAGAAAATTTGTGAGTTGCATGTGAAAATAATGAAAATATAGAAAATTTTTGCACTCAATGTTGTAGCCGCAGTTGAGCATTGTAGTTATGAGAAAAATAGGGTATGATCGAGATCCATCTCTATAGCCACAATTGAGTGTTGTAGTCATGGGAAAAATTAGACTGACAGAAATATCCAACAGTAAAGTGCCAGATTGAGCACTGTAGTGGTGGGGGTAAATGATCGAAGTTGGTCTTGGGATCTTCATAAAAGTTGTAGCCTTGGATGTTAGCTTTCCAATGACTTTGGAATCACCTAAAAAGGAGGTCTATAACAAGTTATAATCTTTTTAGTGAGTAAATGGCAAACTGTCATCATTTAGGTAAGTTGTTATGGTTTTTGTGATTTTTAACATGGTAGATGATGAAATTAGAATTCGAGGTTTTCATGAAAGTTGTAGGAAATCTTATTGTCTTTCATATGAGATAAAGATGAGCATGATATGAGTAGTAGAACTTCCCATGTGTTGTTTTATGTGTGAAATTTGTCATTGTACGATAAGTGATTTTGATAAGTTATATATGTTGATATATGTTGTATGGTGGGTGAATTTGGTGAACATGAATAGAATACTTGTGTCTATTGCATGTTGTATGATGTAGGATGATGATAATAAACATTGGTATGTTATATTTGTGTAGTTGAAATAGTGATGAACTTTGATATGCTATGTATGTTTAATATGCTATGTATGTTTAATATGCTATTATTGAATGAATTGTTGAACATTGATATGTTTTACTTGGATGAACTGTTAATCATTGATATGTTCTTGGTTGAGGTGTTAAACATTGATATGTTATATATGATTGATGTTGTTGATCCCTATATGCATTGACTGGATGTGATGTATATAGTAGATGCATGGTGAGGTGAAGGTGCTAAGAATGAAGTGTGACATTAAAGTATGATGGCTAACTTATTTCTAATTGAAGATCCCATATAAGGTATCTTAAAGTGGTGCTCGGGTAAGCTATTGTTTGAAAAACCCTTCCTGAGTAAGTGTATCTCTTAGAGTAGGTTTTTGAGGTGTGCTGAGTTTCCTCTAAGTCGTTAGTTAGTGGTTAAGTAAGATATAGGAGACCAATGATTACAATCCTTAACTAAGTACATGAAAAAGTTACATAGCTCCTTGAGGATAATTAGTGGGCGAATTTCATATATGACTTAGTAATGGATGTCAAGGTTGTGGTAAGCCTATACCCAGCTGTACTATTTCTAATTGTGGAACTGAACTTTCTTAATGTAACTGCTAAGACCTGAAAAATCAAATGAAGGATTGATATCCCATTTTTTTGCGATCAACCTGACATTTTGGGTGTGAAAATAATATATGGTTGGTTTGATAGGGTGGAACACTTAAATTGTTCATGTTGTTTAAAATCTCCATAGGTGAATGCGTAACACTGCACTAGTTGATATGTTGTATATATGATGTGTGTTGAGGTGTGTTTATATGCATTGTTGATGTCTTGTGTAACATGATTTGGATGTGATACATGTTTGGTTGGAGTGTTGTAGCTTTCATGTTTGATTGTGGGGTGATGTTGTATATTATATGATTGTTATATATATATATATATATACACACACACATATGAATATTTTCAAACTCTAGCTTACCCTTTTTATTTCTATGGTAGTTTGGGTTATGATGATCTATAATGTATGAAAATAAATTAACATACTCATACCTATTTTTTAGTGGGAGTATGTTAGCAACCTACACTAAAATTTTAGGACAAAAAAATCACTCATTTCTTTTAATTTGGTTAATTTGTATAAAGGATATTATAATAATTTAATTTTAAATAAAAATAAAATACTTTCTCTCTCTTATTAACTTCATTCTCTAAGTCATTTCTCCCTCCTATTAAATTCCTTCTCCAATTTATTTATGTTTCCTATTAAATTATTTCTCTAACTTATTTATCTCTCTCTTATTAAATTCCTTTTTTAACTCATTTTTCTCTCATCTCTCATGATGTCTCCCCTCTCTCTCTCTCTCTGAACAAATAAATTAATTAATAGAAAAAATAAATGAATTGGAGAATGAAATTAATAAGAGAGAGAAAATATTTTATTTTTATTTTAAATTAAATTAAATTACTATAATATCCTTTGTGCAAATTAACTAAATAAAAAAAAATGAGTGATTTTTTTGTTTTAAAATTTTGGTGTAGGTTGTTAACATTCTCCCACTAAAAAATAGGTGAGAATATATTAGCATTCCTATATATATATATATATATATGTATAATTTTGATATATATATATATATATATTAATTCATTATCTCTTACCTCTAGCAAGCAATAACTTGAGTAAGCAGTCTCGTTATCATACCATCCCGCTATTATCTAAGAAATTTTTTGTACCGATGAAATGCATGATTTTCCTTGTAAAGCATATTGTTGAACTGATCAGCTAGGTGACTATAGACATGTTATAATTAATGGTACGTGGTTAACAATGATCTTGTATACGGGGACGTGGACGTAGCTCATGCCTACTGCTTTACCACCATTCCATGGTCACAATATTTATACATAATGTGGTGCACCTGGCCAGAGAGTAGGCAATTAACAAGAATGCTTCAAATCAATAGTAACTGCATATTCAAGATCAAGAATAATCTTAATATTTTTTGACTTTCGAAAATATAAAAAGAGAATACCACATACTACTATAAGATTACTATGCTAGGTTCATTGAAGATCTTATTTTCCATGTTAGGATTTAATATAAGGAATTTCTCTTCCAACGAAAAAGATTCTTCAAGTTCATCCCATCCTCCTCTATCTCTTTCTTGTTCTCGCTAGGTATAGACTCAAGCTATGTCAAGCCAAAAAGCACACATGTAACAAAAAAAAACCCCCACCAAACTATCATTACCTCATTTCTTAACGATGATGATGTTGATGGAGAAGATACATAGTGATAACATTTTCCAGCACACACCATTAATTAAAAAGAAAAAAAAAAAAAAAGAACAAACCACACCCCCCAAAAAAATATGCAAATCAAAATCAAAATATATAGTAAATATATAACAACTAATTATAAGTAGATAATAATGATAATAAGTATAGGCCTTTAATTAAATAAAACTCATAAAGACCTCGATGAGTTCTAGGACATTGATATTATGTTGGTCCTTTGTCTCTTAATATTTGCAGAAGCAGACTCATCCCCAACGCTCTTCTCCATCACTGCCTTAAGCGCTTCTTGGATTGAGCTAATGCAGTACTGTTGTTGGTGGCTATGGTCCTCGCTGCCACTGCTTGAGTCTGCTTCTTCCCCAGTTATGAACAACACGTTCTTCACACGCCCACCAAGCGTTGTGATCTCAGCTTTAAGGGTTCTTAGCCTCAATGCTTTCAATGTCTTTATGAGTTCAGGAAACAGATCTGACCTATCTTCACAGCACAACGAGGCTTTGATCACTGAGTTTCCATCTTCATCAGCTTCATCCTCTACTGTTAACTCATCAGACTCCGTAGGAACTGGACTCGATTCTGCTATCAATGATGTTTGACGCTTCAGCTCCTTCACATGCTGAATCACTTCCGCTAGCAATGATGCTTTATCTGTCTACAAAATACCAAAAAGAGAAAACAAATTAATTATGTATCATATCATATCATATCATATATATAATTAATTACATTGTCTTAATTATTTTATGATAGAATAATTAAAACACTTTTTATATTATTTTATGAGCATATTATATATAATATCAAAGTTGAGAATCAAAGACTAATGTACACTGAAATTGAAAATAATTGTACAAGGGACAAGAAATTAATGGTGGGGCTTTGGAGATGTTATATGAGGTTGGTAGGTTATAGCATGATGATTGTGAAGTGGAAATAGTGGGTATCTTTGAATGGTGGAAGTGTCATGCAGCATGTTATAGACGAGAATGAGATGAAATGGGTATGTATAGTTTAGATAGAGTGTGTGTGTTTGTGACTGACAAGGGCGCTAGTTTGTCTCTGGCTTTATTTCTTTTCATTCTCAAACTGAGTTTGACTGATCAACATTGTCCGGCAAGAAATTTCCATGCGAAGCTTTTCCACTGCTAGTTGGTTCCTCTTTATCGTGCCAACAAAGCGACATTAACGCTAATACGCTTTTCTCTCATATCCTCTTTAATTACTACTACTTTTTCTAGCTGTTCCTCGGAACTACCACACACACACAGTGCTCCAAACACATGCACATAATTAAAGTTATTAGTGTCAAGAAATTAAGCCATAAAGAAAAAGAAGAACAATGTGCAAACACTAAACAAAACAAAAACAAGAAGTCACAAAACCAAAAAGGGTGGTAAAAAAAGCAGGCAAATAACAACACAATCTTTGCACCTCATTTTCTAAAAGACTATTGTATTTTTGATTTTGTTGTTTTACTTATCAGACCAAAGTAACAGGTAGAATCTTGCAAAGATTTACTTATCGCACTTTGAATTGAAAAGTCCATAAAGAAAAATTAAAACACACTCTTGCACTATTGTTTACACAAACATGTTCGTACACGTTATAGTCGCGCGTGTAATAACACATGAGATTGATATCTTTAACTTTTGTTTAGATGATTAACTACACACAATAGTAAGTAATTCATAATTGATAATAACTGTAACATATATGGAGTACTTTATAATTTGAATATGTGGGTTATGGAAAGAATTTAATTAAGTTGAATTAATTTGAAGAATGAGTGAAATTTGACTTACTTTGGTTGTGCTAGGCAACAAGCTGCGAAGCTTGGCAAGGTGGTTATTGATTCTCTCTCTGCGTCTCCTCTCAGCTTCACTGTGACTCTTGGATGCAGCAAGGGCCTTAGCCTCCATGATTTCTTGAGCAGTCATCTTAGCCAGCTCGGTTTGGAGGCCAAAGGGTGCTTGACCGGGTTGAACCACCGGTCCAAGGGTATCAGATATGATCCTAAGATGGTCAGAAGATGAACCATCATATGCAAACTGAAGAGAGGGACCCCTTCTGTTGAACAAAGTTGCATAGGGTGAGGGTTGGGGAGGGACAAGAAAAGGGTCATGCTCTCTCACAGGGTTGAGGGGGTGATGGTGGTGAACCACTTGATGAGGCATAGACCATGGTTGATGCAAGATTGGAGAAACTTCACCATGGTACATGTTCAACCCTCCACCATAGATATCGTTGTTTTGTTGCTGCATCTGTTGCTGCTGAAGGAGAAGATGCTCTTGATAGGCCTGGTGGTAGTTATTGATCGCTTGAGAAGAACACTGACCTTGATCTTCCTGTATCATTTCCCTAGGGTCTAGCTGCCTCCTGTTTTATATCAACTCTGTTGAAGGATAATACAAACTCCAAGGCTTTATATAAGAATATTTTGATGGAGTGAAGGATTAATAATAAATAATCTAAGGAAGAAAATTTGGGATTCAAATGTCAGAAGCTGAGGTGGGTTTGTATGCTCTATTTTTTTGTTTTTTGTTTTGTCTGATATGAGTGAGAAAAAGGAGGATTGGAAGAAGAATAAAAGAGTTCGGAGAAGTTTGCTTTACACTTGCACAAGGAATACAAATGAAAAGGGTATTTCAAGGGACAACGTGGGTTGAAAAATGGGTCTTTTTTTCACACCATTACAATCATGAGTATATACTTTGGGATAAAAGACATAAATAGGAAAAGGAGGAAGAAAATAATGAATGATAGATATAATAATATAATAAAAATGAAAATAGGTAGCATATAATGTTGTACAAGTACAAAGAGATAAAAACAAAAATAATGAAGTAAGAGACATAGCTTAATTCCCTTTGATGTAGAATTGTGGTTTGTAATTGAATGAGTTACTTTGGATCTCTCTTGTGGTGGTGGGCGGTGAAAGAAAAGTCCAAAGGTTTTGGATTTCTCTTTCTCTCAATGTCAAATCTCTTTCACTTAGTAGTGTTTTCTGCCACAAACCTTTGTGCGGGGCAAGGTAAGCATCCTTTTACATTCAACAAAACTTTCCTTTTCCTTGGTGCTTTGTTGCTCTCTTTTTGGTTTCTTTCTTTCTTTTCTTCCTAATCTACTCTCTTTGCACCCTTCTGCGCACCAACACACTCTAACATATACAGAAACTCTTTTGAGTGCTGCTACTTCACTTTCCTTTCTGCTCACGGCATTTTCTCTGTCATACCTTTACATGTTAATGTTATACATGCATTATTATATGCTTTTAATTCATTTTTAAATTATCAATTATCGAATGACGCTATAAATAAATATTTAATCTAACTACATGTGTTTTGCTTTTGCACGTACGTACAGAAATAAGCGTATAGAAGTAGTGTATAGTGTATGTGACAGAAGCAAAGAATAGTGAACGCACACAACACAGATTGTCGACCGACCAAGGACAAAAAAGACTGATCATATCATCATCAATGCTAAGCCAACCATTTTCTTTCTTCCATTAATATTAACATTAAAACATTCATGCAATTTAGATAATAAATAAACAAAGAGTTTAGCTTTTGTGTATTATTAATATAAAAAAATTATATTAATAATCAATCAGAAAATATAGTGAGTATAGATTTTAATACACTCCAGTAGTTACTAAACTATATCTTTTTCATAAATAAATCATCAACTTTGTGAAACATTATATTAAAGACATTGGTTACGAAAGTAAATATTTTAAAAAAAAATTAATGTTTAAAAGTTATATAAAAATGAATTTCAATATTACACCATAATTAATTTCAATAAAACTTTATTTATTGTTATTTGTCTCCTTAAGATACCTGTTAACATCGCCCGATATTTTATTAATGCATTGAATATCATAATATTAATAAAAAATATTATTGAATGATTCTTTAACTACTTTATTTAATTCAATGATTAGCAAAACATCTGACTAGATGTATATCACAAGAAAAACTTATTTCTAATCAATATCGAAACTTTTACTTTTGAGAAATTTTATATCACAGTTTTTTTTTTATCAATTAATATTGAAGGGAATTCTTAAAATACTCTTTACTCGAAAATTTCTCAAGATATTACAATGATATACACTCCTTTAGATTACTTTTTTCATACACCTTTATCATTTGAAAAATTTATAATTATATATCTTTTTTTTATTTATAAATATTTGTGAATCTTGATAGGAGCATTTATCTTATTCAATATCTAAAAAAAAAAAGAAGATAAAACCATTATAAACTTAAGTGAAAATTTAATATTTGATTAAACTTTAAATTCTTTTAATATAAATTATGTATGATATTAGACTTGCATTTTCTTAAAGTTAATTAGATCCCTTAATTCTTAAGATTAATCAAATTCGTTTTATGTAAATTTTCTTCTACTAGAAAATAATCAAGTTTTTTTTTTATCTATATATTTATTAGTTTATGATAAATTCGGGATATCAAATTAAAATTTGTTAAAATTATAAATTTAGTGAGAATTTATAAAATTTAAAAGATTTAACGAGTCGAGATTGAAATTTCACCGTACAAAAATCAAGATATTTTATTTAAGGTAAAACTTATTATTTTGGTTATTAAAGTATTCCAGTTAAAGACAAAATTTAAATACAATATAGTAGGTGTTCTTAGAATTGTTCCCTAATTATAATTAAATTTTATTTTGATAATGACAAAACTTAACTATGCTACCATAGGTATACTATCAATATTGTTCTCCATCAAGATTGAAACTTCTGATAATATACATTTGTATTTAATGTAAATTTCAATAATATATATTTGATAAAAGTATAATTTCTAATCAGAAAATAACATTTATAGTACTGCATGTAAATTTTATCATTTAATTAATTCAATTTGTGATAATTTTAAGCAAAAAAAAAAATGAAATTCAAAAGTTTCATGTAGAAATATGAATAATAAAGTCAAATTTATTTAATTTCAAAAGAAAATAACATAATTAACTAAATAAATTAGTGATTAAACTTACACATATTTAAAATTAAAAACAATACAATTAAGCCGACATAGAAAATGAAAAAATAATTAGAATTATTTGATTATAGTTGTTCTGAGCCCCTTGGGGTTTAGGTGTTTTCTTTCCCTTGGTACCTCGGTGAAGCCCCCCACGTTCTTCTATACTCTTGCCTTGCCCTTGCTATGTCCACGCCACCCTTTATGCCTTCCCCAACACCATGTAATCATTTTGTCTTCGAACACACTCCACCTTTCTCTCTCCTACGTCTCTTCGTTTCACCTATAACTATAACGTGGACCAATTTTTCATACTCCTCTTCTTTTCAAACCTGTTTATGCCAAAATTAATATTACTACACAAGAGACCTTCCTTCATTTCCACGTGGCATCTTACCACATACTAACCCAACCTTCAAGTTTAATCTAAACTAAAGTTCACCTCTTTCTGGCTTTTACCATATTATTACTAGCAACTCATCATATTGCAAATCAACAAAGATGAATTTAATCATTCCTATTAATTATCACGTTAATTAATTTGATTATCTCATTTTGAAAATTAGAATGTTGATTGTGTGCTTACTATATACATATAATGTGAAAAAAGAAGTACGACTAGTCTATAAAAATTCTCGTTCAAAACGCATAACATATCCATTGATTGATGATCTTAATTCCACAAGACTATGACCATTTATTTATATATATGATCTTAATTGGAAACTATTTTTCTTCGAGCTAGCTCTTTGTGTTTTAGTTTAACTTTGTTTCTTCTTCCGTTGACGTAATTGAGTCAGAGTTAGGAGACAACAAAGGGCAGCCAATAACGTGGTTTTTATAGGACAAAATTATTTTGTTTGTTAGCCAAAGAAAAAAAAAAGATTAACTAAATTTTTGTGTGAAAAGAATGCATACTTTGAAATGGGTTGGTAAGATATTGTCCAGCAGAATGTTAGAACTTGAAAAGGCCATACAACACCAAGGAAAAGGAATACTAGATGTTTCCATTTACTTTTGACAAGTGGCACAGTTTATCAAGCTCTCTATCTCTTTCTCTCTCTTTTTTATTTCTTCTCAAAATAATAACAACCCACTCTTTATTAAGGCTCTTTTTAATAAAACTAACTTAGTCACCTAATACACAATAAATTTTTACTTAATTTAACTGTAGCACTTTCTTTTCTGCATCCTTAACTTTGAGCAATAATTTATGGTTAAAACTTAAAACTTAAAACTTAAAACTTAAAAGTGATGATGAAAGTAGTTGAAGATTTTGATTGCTTTTTCTGCAATTTCGTCTATTAAAGAGAGAGTGTTTGGCAATTGTTGTAGCAGGGTCGGTGATTGGTCGAAAAGATGTTGAAAATGGTGGTTTGTTTGTTTGTCTGTGTTTGATGAGTGGTGTGTGCATGGTGAAAAAGAAGCAGGTAATTTAGTAGCCCTGGCTTAAAAGGCAAGTCTTAGATCTCTTCACTGGCAAAGCCTGCAAGATAATTACACGGTTCCATAAGCAGTTTTGTCATCTAAAGTTAAACAAAAATCATTAAAGCCTATACACATTTCATTTCCCTATTCAACACTATAATTGTTCAGTGTCTGGAGATAATCACAGCAAATTTCTATAATTACATTTTTAATATATTAATTCTGAATTCTGCCTTTCAGTGACTCGTAGTAATTAAGCCTCTCTATATATTTGTACTATCTGCTTAAAAATTAACTAAATTAAAAGTCGTTAAGAGATTCTTTCTCTTTCAATCAAAAGCTATATTTGGAGCTTTTGAGGCCTCCTAAATTATTTTTAAATTTCTCAAAAAAAAAAAAATTCATGCAACGGCTTAATATTACTTTTTACAGTATATATCTTAGTTATTTTCAAATAAATTTTCTGATCACCATAAATGAATGAAATCTATCATAAATTAGAAACCAGAATTTTCTGTATTGTAGAAATATAATAAATCTGTTCACAATATATTGTCAAATGTCAAGTTGTTATTTTCTTTTTATTTTATGGTATTTTAGTAATTTTCTTGAAAACAATGACATTTCATTCTGAAAATGGGTAAGTGGCCTTTCTCTCGTGCAAGCCACCAGCTAATTTGTTTAAAGACCAATTTTTGATCAATTCTATCGATTCCTTATTGGAGAAAATTTAATTAAGTGTTATATAATACTTCCTCTTTTTTATTTATTAAAAATACAAATAAAAATAAAAAATTCTTATTTTTATATATAAGTAAATTTAACTATTTTTACATCTTTTAATATTATTTTTTATAAAATATCTTTTCTTTAAAATATGAATTTTTGGTATATTTATAATAAAGATAATTTTAAAAAATCTTATGAAAATAGTAAAATTTAGTATAAATAACTAATTTTTTTTAATATGTGTAAAACTTTTTTTTATTTATAATAAAGAAACATAAGGAATAAGTGTTTATAGTATTGTTGAACGGGCTTATATATATGCCTGCTTATATATAAATAAATAACCATCTCTATGCGTAAAGTTCTCTAGAGTTTAAATTATACATCACTGTTAGATTTGACTTTCTATTTAGCTAGCCTCAACTTTATTTAAATGTTGATTAATAAACGAAATGTTGCTAAAACTATCTTATTAAGAAGTTGCTAAAAGGGGAATATTTTTCAAAATAGTTTTAAAAAAGCATTTAACTCCCATTTTAACTTTAAATCGTGTCTAACAT